AGCCTCAGCCAGGACAAAATTGAGAAGAGACTTGTTCAGACCTCCCCATCCACAGGTTGGGAACTGCTATTTGCAGAGAGCTGCCTGCTTCTGGCAGCCTCGTGCCTCTGATCTCTCTGTCCCATGATACAGCTGCAGGTGAAAGCCCTGTGCAGAGCTGAAAGTACCATCTTGATGAGGGTGGGATATCAGCGGCCTTGGCACCCCAGCATGTCCTGAGAAGTGCCAGCAGCTTTGGCACCATCATCTGCTGACTGCTTTGCTACCAGGGAATGTGGTGTGGAGGCTCAGTCAGTGTCTCTGGTGCCCTCCTGAGCACTGGGATAGGCTGTGTGTGATCTGTGGGGCCAGGCTGTTCCCAGCCATGTGTGCCAGCACCTGGGCTGTTTGTGCCTGTGTTCCCAGAGTGCTGGTGGGTTTTTGTCACCTTGGACCTGCTGGACCTGGTCTTGTGCAGGTTGTGTGGCTACTGGACACTCCCAGTATGCCAATATGAGTGACTTTGCACCTTGGTCTAGTGTTAGATAGATGAGGTTAGTGGCTCTCAGATTCTTTTCCTCTATGCAGCTTTCCAGCCACTCTGCCCAAAGCCTGAAGGTTGCATGGGGCTCTTGTGATCAAAGTACAAGCCCCAGCCCTCGTTCTTGTTGAACATCATGCAATTGGCCTCAGCCCATTAATCAGTCTGTCCATATCCCACCGTAGAACTTTTCTATCCCAAGCAGATCAACACTTCCTCTGAACTTGGCATCACCTACAAACTTAATGAGGGTGTACTCAATCCCCTCATCAAGATCATCAGTAAGAATATTATGATTTTTCCTTAGTTAATCCATGTTAACTACTCCTGATAAGCTTATTTCTTCCCACATGCTTGGAAATGACATTCAGAATAAGCTGCTTCTTTACCTTGCCAGGGACAGATGTGAGCCTGACTGGCTTGAAGTTTCCCAGGTCTTCCTTCTTGCCCCTTTTGAAAACCAGAGCAATGCTGGCTTTTCTCCAGTCCTCAGGCACCTCTTCCATTCTCCATGATCTTTCATGGATGATAATGGTTCAGCAGTCACTTCTGCTAGCTCCCTCAGCACTCATGGGTGCATCCCACTGGGGCCCATGGATTTGTGTGTGTTGAGTTTGCCTAGGCAATCTCTGACCAGATTTTCCTTGACAAAGGAGAAATTTTCCTTCTCCCAGACTCAGTTTTCTCCAGGGTCTGGGATTCTGGAGGAGCCTTAGCAAAAATCAAAGAAGGTGTTCTGTAACTCTGCCTTCTCTGCGTCCTTTGGTTACCAGGGCATGCACCTCATTTTCCAGTAGGCCTACATTCACCTATTTTGCTATTGATATATTTAATGAAGCCTTTCTTGTTTTATTTGATTTCCTTTGAATTCTAGAAAGTTAAGTGGAAACTGTCCACTGGCTAAAAGGAAGTTCAGTGCTTCTTTCTGCTTTCTCCTTCTATTGAAGGAAAGGCTGTCAGACAATTGTCTTATCCATTTTGAGAAGACTTTCCAGCTGGCAGGTCATTCTCTGCTTTCTACTGAAGCAGTCAAACTGCATGCGGGACTCGTTGGTCAAAGACTCACTGGAATGTGAAGGGAAAAGATGGGAGAAGACATTCATATGGCAAGAAGTAGCCTAATTAAAGGACGTTAGATCTATATATACAGTATATGCAGTCTTGTTGGAATATGAATGAAAATCTTTCTTTGCTTTTAATCAGTACACTCACCAGAATGCTGAGGACCTTTCTGAAATAGATGGGAGACAAATGATAGCCTCAAACTTTTGCCGTAAGTAACAGAAGTGAAACAGCAATGGATTTTTTTCTTTTTTTCTTTTTTGTTTAGTATTTTATTTCTGTGCCTCAACAGATGAAATTCATAACCCTGTTTCTGATAAGACAATTGCAACGTAGAAATGAATTACAACAATGTGCTTTCCAGCTTTTATTACTTCATTTAATTAACTGACAATTCAGAAGGACAAAGACAATAGGGCTGTAGCAGAACAGCATTACAATTAAAATAAATTTCTATGAAAAGCAATTACAGTAGTTTTGAAAATCCAGGAAGGGTCAACCTTTTGTTCGAACAGACTGCATTTTAAGAAAGTAGTTGCAATGAAATTATGTGGTTTGTAGTTTTCATTTTTGAACAAGGAGAGAGGAAAATCCTTATGATAAAACAGGATCTGGAGGGAACACTCCCACAGAGAAAATAATTTACCCATCAACAAGCACGTCATCCACTTTTCACACTTTTCATTATTCTGTAAAGCCCATTAGAGAAAAATGCTTTTTCGTTGTGCTGTCTTTCCATTTGCACTGCTTTGAGTTTCTGCTTCAGTATATTAAGACTTAAAGGACAAATTAATCTCTCATGTATGTTTTTGTGTGTGTGCTTCTCAACAATGGCATGCACTTTCAGTAAGCACTCCCTTCAGTTCTCATTATCTTGAACATGCACCTTCCAGTGTCTTAAATTGATGGTAGTCTTGAACGATAAAATGGATGCATCCGGTTAATCTTAATCCCAAGAGCAAGTCTGGTATTTTTAATTGTGCCAGATAAGCCCATACTTCAGAAATAGTTCCCAGTGACTGCTGAACATGGAACAGTATCTGGTCAACAACTATCAAATTTGCTTCAGTGACATTCAAAGCAGATTCTTCTGGCTTCTGTCCTAGAGCTGAAGCTGGGAATAGGGCAGTTCCATGTGTTTGGATCATGTATGAGCAAACCAATCTAGATTAAAATATGAAGTTGACACAATTCAGCATTGTGGCAAATAAAGCAAACATCAGATCAAATTTCCTTTGATAGACATTGGCACTGGAAATCTGAAAAGTAGATACTCATTACTTTACCTGTTAAAGATCTGGAAAGTCTATAGGAATTCTAGGTTTGTTTCAGTAAACTTTGGTTAAGAATTAGAGAAACTATGGAACCTACTTTGGCAGTCTTGTATAAGGACCAAATGGAAATGTTTTTATGTAAGTAGTCCGAGTGTTCAACACTTGAGTTGACACACTTGACAACCTGATGATGTGTAGTTTGCATTCATTTCAGCATTTCTCATTTATAATCAAAGGCAAAGAGAAAATTTTTCATAGATTCATTAGGAGATGAATCGTTTATCAGGCATTGCAAAAACACTAATTATATGAGGCATTAAGAGGTCCTTTTATGCAATACAATACTGAATTGCAAAAAAGACAAGAGTCTAGTTGGTGTGCATCTTTCGCGACATTTTCTTTCTTTCGTTTTCTTTCATTTAACTTCACTCTTCTGCAAGAGCATCTATTTTACTGTTGTTAGAAATGTTGACCACAGGGCAGACCATTTCTGTCACCACATTGCTGTCATCTTCTGGAACATTTTGGGCAGCAAAGATTGCATTTCTTAAAAAAAAAAAGAAAAAAAGAAAAAAAGAAATTGCTTTCTTTAATAACAATGCCTATTACTACATAACAATTTATATACAAAACCAAGAGAAATGGTAGAATATTCCTTTTGAAAGGTGAATATTGTTATTATATTTTCCAGAGAGTTAGAGGCCCAGAGGTTTTGCCTACATTTCAGAAATGTTGAGTTCCAACCTTATGCTTGTGTTACTAGCCAGCAGCAGTGACTACTCCACATTAGGCAGTGCTGATCTGGTATTCTTTAGCAGAATGTGATGGCCTGCCAAACTCACTAAAGCCAAGACAAGGAGATTCCAGAAGGTCCGTTAAAGTGCAGGCTCTCGTGTAAGGGTCTGTATTTGAATTTGTATTTGCATGATATGCTTCCTGTCTGTACAAAAAAAGCATTATCTGCAATGCATAAGAACTGATGCACTGCATAGATGCACCACAGGTTGGCATCTTTTTAAAAGGAAATGTTTGGTTTCAGTGATAGCAATACTTTACATAATGGATGTAATCTATTAGTTTTTGTACATACAGTGAATAGTTCTCATAGCAAAAGTAACAGATTAAATGTATGATCATTGTCTTCCTCTAATAAAATAAGTGTGCTCTCCATCACTTGTGCTTCTGAGTTATATAAATAGCAAAGTAATTGGAAAACAGCTCAGAAAAATATAACTTCCACTTTAGGGACTGACAAGGTAAGTAAGATCTTCTAGCTGGTGATCATAGCTTTAACTAGCTGAATTTCTTCCCTAGGGATTAATTAATAAACCAGCTCCTGCAGACTCACGTAATTCCACAGGTACTTACAGTAGGTACTAAGTCATCTAATTTTTTACACTAGTTTTAATTTCTTTTTCTCTCTACAATCCCTTCCTGTATTTCATCAACTTATTACTCTGTTTTTACTTTTCCCCTTGATTACTAAAGTTGAAAATTTATCCCTCCAAGAACAGAGGCAGAATAAGGCTTTCCCTCAAGAATTTCCTGTATCTAGGGAAAAAGCAGCTTAGACCAAATCTCCCTTACTGCCAAGTCTGTTGAGCAGTAATGCCAAGTCCTTTGCAATAACTCAGAATTTCTTGATTCACCAGACCAACTGTGCTTTCCCACCATGAGTTACCAGCCTCCCCTCACCCAGTCCAGGTAGTATAAGAGATAAATAAACCCCCTTTTTTTTTTTTTTTTTTTTTTTTTTTTTGTAGCCAGCCATCTATATCTGCACGTGGGAAGGTTTTGTGATGCAGAAAATGCACTGTACACTTTCCCAGTGCGATAATGACATAATCTTTGTGTATTGAGTTTATTGATTGATAGACAGTGTGACAGCCTTTCAAAGTACAAAAAATGTTAGAGCTAAGCATTTTTTTTAAATATACTTTGGATGACTACTATTATTAATTTACTCTGCCATCCAGTATAGGTGGATGTTATATTAATTACAATACAGGTCTTCTATAGTGAGTCTATAAAAGTATAAAATTCTCAGAAATTTATGAAAATGACCATATCCTAGAGAATTCTGGGTGTTTATGAGTACCTAAAGTTGTTCATCTGTTTAGTAATTAACTACAGATATTACTCTCTTCTTCTTCTTTTTTTCTTTTTTTTTTTTTTTGGTCCAGAAAAGTGTAGTTCTGGAGAGCACAAATCTTTCTCTTGAGACCCTGACCTAATGAAATTGTCAGTGATTGCCCAATGTGACAATGCTTTTCGTTACCTGTTAGTCATGGCGTAGACTAGTGGTTTCATTCACTATAACTGGAAACTGTGTATAGCACCCTCTGTTCTCTCCCCTTGAGATAATGTCAAGTAGTCCAGAGAAGTACCGTGCATTGCATAAAAGAAGTCTGAAGCTTAGTGTAGACGAGCCTTTCCAGGAAACCTTGTCTGTCCCTGGCAAATGCAGTGTTCCCAGTGATGCTTGTTTTTTCATGTCATGCTGTAGTCAGTACTGCAGCATGCTGCAGTCTGTAAATCAGACTATCAGATCGAAAGAAAATAACACAAAAATTAAGTAGATTCTTAACATAATCTATCATTAAGTTTTTCCCACAGATTTACTGCATTTGATAGTCTACTGCAGAGGAAGGTACAGCGGTACAAGTAGGTCAAAACCGACTTGTTTTGTACAAATGCAAGTGCAGAATGATACAACAGATTTCAAGAAGCTTGGGAGGACTGACATCTAGCCCATCTGATTCTGCTCCCAGCAATCCAGCAGGATTTCAACCTGCTTCTTCCTCTTTTGAGATAGCAAAACCAACATTATTTTCCCTTCCTAGTGAACAAGATCCCGGTTTAGAGGATATAGAGTTCATGACTTATGAATCTTACTTCAGATTATCCCAAGATGCATAAGTAAAATTCTCTGTGAAAGCACTTAGCTGTGGGAGAATGAGAGTAGCAGTATTAGGTTATGGCCTGTGTCCTACAAAGTTGATCTCTGACACAGATTTGGTGGGTCAAGGCAAGCCTCAGGGGTGGGGAGTAGCTTTCAAATTCAGCAGTCTGCCTTTCTCCACTTAATTGCTGTGGTGCAGTTAAGGGGTAGTTTGAATACCAGTGCTTTCCTTACAAAATGTGTTTCAGAAACAGATATTTGGAATCAGATACCTTTGTAAAAACAGTGATGTACAGCTGGTGAAATCTATTTCCATTATACTGGAATGTGGTGGGATTAGACTGACTGGTATCTCCACCAATTATCTTCACATGCTATGCAAAGGATGGTGAAACAACAGGCTGTCTCACACTCTGCATGGAGAGTAAATGCCAAAACACATCAGAATATGACCTGGATTTTTCTCTGTGTCTGTGGTCTCCATGCCATAGAGGAGGAGTGAAAGTAAGTAGATGCAAAATGCCTGCTGGAGTCTTCTCTTTCTGACTGGAATGGCTTATATGTTCAGGAGTGGTTAGTCTGAGTGGATAACCTGTTGTGAAGACGTGGCACTGAGGGTGCTGCGATTGGTGCTGAGAAAACTGTTGTTCCTTTCTTTTCCCCTCAGTTTAGTTTCTTTCACTACCCCTTGAAAAAAGGTGACCAGCTACAATAAGGGAAGCAGTGCAAATTTTCTTCACTTTCCTCAGTAAATTTTGCCACTCCACAAAGTATTTATTTGGGTTTCATTTTGGATAAGTATGATACACATCATGACATAAGCCCTAAAGTAAATTTTAAAATGACATTCAGAACAACTGTCTTGACAAACAAAGCTTTTTTTTTTTCTTTTTTTTTCTTTTTTTTCTTTTTTCATTACCATATTTTGCTGAAACATGAAGCGAACTTACGGACAAACCTGACTTGTCATGTGCTTCATGAATCATAACAGCAGCGCTAATTCACTTCCCATCCATAATCATGACTATATATATTAAAATAAATTACAACACATTTTTTTTTTTCTGGTTAATCTTTTCACCTTTTAAAACAATATACATTTAATACTTGAAGTAAGAAAAAGAACAAAACAATTTTTTTTTTTTTTTTTTTTTTTTTCCCACACACAAACATATACATATGAACTACATGTGCTTGCAAATAGATTTCAGTAACTGTGATGATACTCTAATATTTATGCACTATGGTATTCCCTCCCCAACAAATGACAGACTTGCTATCGTTATGTACTTGCCCATAAGCCATCTTCCTACATATAAGGCTGTAAGCTCACCAGATCACTATTGTCATTTACTACCTATTTATACAGTGCCCAGTGTCACGAGGACCAAGTGTTGTTTTTAAGGTTCAAAATGACATAAATGAATGCCTTAAGAAGCCATAGCATTTTGCTTTCTGGAAAGTGAAAACTATTAACTGTACAAGTTGACAACCATCTTCACAGCTGCCTTGAAATCTCAACTCGTTCTTGGCTTATGTGAAAGCAGGTAGTGTTGCTGACCTGCAGATACCACACATAGAAGGAGGCTTTCTTTTACTTTTTTTCTTCCCAGAATCTATATTTGCTAATTCTCCAGCTCAATTAACAGTGACAAATATTAAAGCAATCCAGAATAGAAGCTATGCCACAAGGTGAGAATTAATTAAAGCATAAATTCTGCTTATTTCCCACTGTAGCCCTTTCATAATGAGCAAAAAATCTACATTCCTTTATCAGATTTCTAGTGTAACCACGGAGTCACGTAACAGATGTTGAGGGGATTTCTCCTGATACATACTGCCTCGCTAGAGTAGAGAATCTGGTTTTAGTCTCTTGCTCCAACACTTCTGTTTCATGACAATTTTGGTGCCAGTTCAAACAAATACAAATAATGAAATTACGAGGTAAAAGTCTGCTCTTTTGTACTCTTCTACAAGCTATTTGAATACGAAGGATAAAGTGTCCTTAAGTCATAACAAGAATTTTCTTGCCTATGCCAGCTCTTTATTTATTCTGCTGAGGGTATAAATAAAGATTTCTATTTCCAGCTGGCCTTATCTTCAACCACCTGCTTCCAGTTAAAAAGCAAAACAAAACAGAAAGAAAAGAAAAGAAAGACTCAGAGTCATTCAACCTGCAGATTGCTTTTGGCATGTAGCTATCTCAGTAGCAATAGCAAGAACCTCACAGACACTTGTTTATTTCATTTGCAGGAGGAGGCTTATCCAAGCTTCATCCTTTTTTAGAATTGTTTTTGGTTTGAAGAGCATTTAAGATTGTGCTTTGAGATCTAGATTCCAAAAAGCACATGAGCATACAGTGAAACTTAACTGAATCCAAAGATCTTCATTTGGGATTACTGTCATTTGCAACTGAGAAGAGGGGAGGGCAGAGCTAGAAAACAAAAGAAGCACATATCACCAAACCTGTTGGGATTTTTCTAAGCTGCCTAGGGAAACTGAGTTTGTAATTCTCATTACAGGTGATAGTAATGATAGGGTATCCAAACTGCTTAGCTAACTTGAAAAATCTCATTCAGTGTTTCAGTTATTCTCCAGTATTCAGGCCCTTTCATTCTTAGAAAGACACTCCTTTTACTCCTCCAGGGTTAATTAACATTTAAATTACTGTATGAAATTGTTTTTTACTTCTTCCTTCCTTAGCTCTCTCTCCTATATCTTTTTAGCATGAAAGGCAACCATTTAGGCCACTGAAACCAAATCAGAATGCATGTATCCAGTGCTAGCCCATGCCTTGTCTTTCTTTGGGTAAGACTAGAGATCAGCTGCAGTGGACTTTGACTCCTAAAGCACTACTGCTATGCAGGTTCATGTGTTTGAGAAGACGAGTGATACAGCTGGCGGAGGAGGGACAGCTTGACAGTACTCTTTTTCTTATAACTCCATGTCAAGACACATTTTGAACAACAAAGATGGGAATAGGCAGAGCAGTCATCATGCTAGCCCAGTGCAAACTGGGATCACTCAGAGGAAAGAGATTAAGTAACGCAGACAAAATAGGCTTCCTCTTCCTCACTTCTTGCTGTGTTCTACTGCTGTAGAAGAAAGTGAAACTTTGTCCCACCACACAACTGTTTCTATTTTTGATTAAAAAAAAAAAAAATATCTCCATTTTATTACTGTCTAATGGACCTTTTTTTCACAAGATGATGTAGCACATGAGACAAAAATGACTACTGACTGCAGTTTCTTACCTGTCTTTCCTATAATGCACTGTTGCTGCTGGGCAGCCAGAAGCTAATTGTTGTTGCAGATTTTCAACCATTGCTTCATATTTTTGTGGGTTAAATGTGGGCTTCTGGCATTCTCACATCTTGCAGTTTTCTTTCTGGAAAAATCCACTGCTTAAAACAGATGTCTAGGTGTCATGTAGGAAAGTTGATTTGATATGTATCTTTGATGTGCTGAATGTGCAACATGGCCTACATTCCATGTTTTCTCTATATCACTTTCTTCTCCAATCACAACATTTATGTCATTATATATTATATAATTATATATATATATATATGTATATATAATATATATAATTATATATTAATGCTGACTTCCTACTGTGTCTCGTATACTTTGACTAAATTTGGTGAACTGAGTGTGCAATCTGGCTTCCTTATTTTCCTTAATGACAAAATCATTGCTATCACCATGGGTGATGCAATACCATGCTGCAAGAAATAAGGAAAATCAAAAATAAAAGAAAACTTGAATAGTGGTGTGTCAATAACATGAAGTGAGCTCTTCTTCATTATAAAGTGTTTAGTTAAAAAATCAGATTATATCAACAGGTCTCTAGGGTCTAAGAATCTCCTGGCTGTGTTGACACTGAGAGTATGTGTGAATATTGAGGGAGGGTGGAACAGACAGTAAAAGCAGTCTCCCCCATCTGTATCTAATCAAGGTGATGTCTCAAGCTAAGCCTTTCTGAGAACAATGTTCCCAAGTTAATGTGAAAGAAGGAAGGAAAAAATTGAAAACCAGTCCCAAATCTCTATATAGGTAAGTTAGGGCACTGGTTATTCTTCATTCCCCCTTTATCGTTGTAGACTCCTTCCCCATGACATTGCCTGTAGGATCCTCTTTCTACTCTCAGAAAGAACAAGTACCCATCCATTATGAAAGAGAAGAATGGAGCATTGGTCTGTGGAAATGGATTTCCCAGCATATTAATAGGCAATTCAGCCTACTTCAGCTCAGATCTTACAAGCTGTGTTGACAAAGATAATGGTGTACCTGCTTTCGTAAGTAGCTCTGCTGGTTTCAGCATTTTTGTTATCTCTTTCAGCAAAACTACCGCTGCTCAGTCTTGTTGTGCTGACCAGCAGAGAAGACCAGATGAAGCTGTACAAAGCCACCACACAAAACACGAGGGAAAACACCTTTGTTCCCTCTTGTAGTGACAGGTATGCACTGTCTGCCTGCCTCCAAATAAATGACAGGGGAGCCATGTGTGACAGGTGTCTCTTTGCAGCCTGATTCTTTTCCTCCAATATGATACTCCCTTGTAAAAAGGTAAACTGCAGTTTCCTTGATCTCTCAAGCAGACAGAGAAGTGACTGCGAGCAAGTAAAAGGCAGAGCATGTGTGCAGACAGCTACTGACTGTCCTTTTATTATATATTGAAAAAGAACTGTCAAAAGGGTGGTTGTCTAGGTCTGACCTCGGCACTGCATTCCCTCACAGTGAGTTTGTGTCCCAGGAATACATACACAACTATCCAGAGCAAGATCCAAGCCTTTCTGACAATCTTACTCTTCTCATTTTCCTTGGGAGGGGCGATAGGCTTTGTCAAGTCCACGATGAAATCAGTAGGCTACAAAAAATAGAACAATGCTAGAGGCAGAGAGCAAACACTGATTGTTAAAAACAGCCTGTATACTGACTGAACTCAGGGCAATACACACAATGCTGGCAGCTCTGCAAGGCAGTGCTCTGCAAGAGCAAGCAGTAATTTCCATCACCAGGACATATTTCACTTAGGCAACAAGCATGTTAATGCTCAGAAATCTTTGCAGTACACTAATAATGCAATCACTTTTTAGAATCATTCTAGAAGGCAGAGGGGAATTCAGCCGTTCATAATTAATCCTAAAAGCACATTTTTTGCTAAATTTTTTTCAAATTTTTGTTGTTTTTGTTGTTTTATTGTGACATTTAATATGAAATAATCTGCTGCAACTGTCCAGAATTGAGGAGAATTTTTGCTTCTAACATTGATTTTAACATTTAACATGAAATGACTGCAGGGGTAATAGGTTACTAATTGAAAAATAACAATTACAAGGGAAAGGCACATGCAAATGTCTTTAATGGGCAGTTCAGAAACACTTTGTTTTATCCCCATTTGTTTCTTTAACTGCCCACATTAAGGTACAATAGAGTTTTGGGCTTCAGTGCGGTGGTTACTGTATCAGTAAAAACAATTTCCCCAGTGCTAGCGTTTAGTCAGGGGTTATTCTGTCTAATAATGATGTTTTACAAACTTTCATAGAACAAAGAGGATCACTCTCAAGCATCTCCATAAATCTCTAGCTGTCTAGTTCAGAACACACGCACACACAAAAAAAGAAAGCTACAAAACCCAACTCAAAGCAAGTAAGATGAAAAAAAATTCTAACAACCCTTGCATCTTCTTCAGCTGGGTGACCTAAAAACAGCAGCGAGGCAACAAAAAAACAGCCACTATGAATAGAGATTCTCAAAACTGCCTTGACCTTGGGTCCTACAGCTATATTAAGGATATACTTGAGGAGCTCAGATGGATGTACAACTTTTGGCACATTTCCCTTGATAACGGGGGAAGATTTTTATCCAGCTTAGAAAATCTCTGCCAAAAAATGCGGATCGTACTTTTAGAAACACCAGCGTCCCATTGCAGGTCAGCTTGACTTCAGTTTCAGAGCACTGAAATCTAATTTTAAGATTGATAATAGAACTCTTAAATCATATTAATCTGAAAGTTCTATTCTACAACAATTTCATATTCTTTTTGGCTAAACACATACACAGTCATTATTACCTTTATTCTAGTTTATTCAAATTACTTATAAATCACTGTTATCAATCACTTAGCAGTAAACCTATGGCTTGTAACTGCTAAAAAAGATTGAGAGATCACTGAAAAACTCCATATCTTCCCATTGCTGAGATTTTCAAAATAAAAACAGTGGCATCAACAATAAAGAATAAAGAATAAAGTTTCAGTTCTGAGCCTTTTGAGGATTTGTTTAGAGGAATAAAACAAAAAGCGTTTAACTGAACTGAACTAACTTTCCACTTCTGTCTTCTCTCCATTAAAAATACTTTCTAAAACCTGGAGAAACTTGCCCCTCTTGCTCTAAGATACTGCACCTGAAAGAAACATAACCACATAGTTATTAAAATGGCATCAAGAATAGCTAAGTAATCTGTTCTTGGAAATTAGCTTTGTGTTTATGTGTTATCTACAAATATACAAGATGAAGATGACAGTGGCTAGAGGTTCATTATATCTGGCAGTATGTTAGCCTTTTTGAGGCTATCATGTTCCAAACATTTTTGTATTATAATCCCCATATTATGCATGAACAACCCTAGTTTACTGGCATTGGAGAAGAGTTCATTCTTTGCGGAAATGTTTTTCTATATTTTAATTCAATCCTCCAAATAGCAAGATGACCATATTTCCCAAGGAGTTTGCAGTTTTGCCCCATACAGATTAACATTTTAAGAATTTAACAGTAGCTTTGAAATTAAAGCAGGGCTAACAAAAAACAAGTCTCACTCATCAAGAACTCAGCTCCTCTACGCCAGCAGTATCTGGTGGGTTGCCTTCCCTGGATGCATTCCAGGGCTATGTTACAGTAAACTGGTCCAGTGTGATATCACAGATATAAAAAATATTCCATTCTGTATCAAAACTAGGCACATGCCTTATATTTATATGAAGAGAAGATCAATAGAGTTGAGCGTTTTTGCTCTCAACTATTCATCTGTGGCCTTCTACATGAGGAGAAAAATATTTAATGTTGTTTCTAATTGGTAACTACAGGAGTCTAATTTGAGTTAGATGGTAGTTAAAAGGGAGGTGACATCACACTTGGGTCAGTATTGGTGGATATCTAAAAGCACAACCTCTCATTTGTATTGCTTTAAAATGTACACAGTATAGATGTGTTTAAAAAAAAAAAAAAGAAAAAAAAAAAGAAAAAAAAACAAAAACCAAAAAAAAAGACTACCAATTTTTGTGGTGTTGAACCAACTAGAAGGTATGATGCAAGGCTCTTTACCAAATGAGATCTATAGATACAAATTTCACTGTAGAGTATGCTTTAGACAAATGTGTCTTTTTCTTTAAGTATGTAAATCCTACACTGTAGGCTTATTTTTTTCCTTTTTCTTTTTCTTTTTGTAGTGGTAGAAAATGTTGAACAATTGTCCATGAGCATGAGCCAACGGTTCATTGCTGATATCCCCAGAATGCCAATATTTGCAATGCAAACAGTTAGTACAATTTACCAGTTCTATGAAAGGCCCTGACATATCTGCCTCAAGGTCTGGAGGCTCTGCTGTACAACCACAAAGAGTCTTTTGATTTCCACGTAACCTTTTGATACAGTGACAGCTGCATTAAGCTGCGTTTACCCAGCAATTCCACATGCCAGGCTGATTTAATTGGTTATAATGCCACAGAAAAAGTACTGCTAGCAGAACACCATCAAATCATTTTCATATTGAACCTTCGCGGTCCAGCAACCTCCCCTTCAACTACAGCACCATTGTTTTTGCGAGGGACATATTCAAGGTCAATGCTGGTTTTGTGTTTGCCTTTCCCTCGGCTCCACACAAAAAGAAGTAAGAAACAAAATAAAACCACTCCAAGGAATGTGAAGCAGCCCATAGCTGTGGACACCAATATTGTCTTAAGGTCCAGAGAGAAAGTGTTTGCATTAGTTCCATTGGAACTGGTGTCGTTGGAGTCTGTCATATACATAGGGGTCCTGTTGGCATAAAGGAAACGGTCTGAAGTGAACCCCTTTACCGTAAGGGAGGCCGAATAGGTGTCATTCCCAGCTGCGTTACTTGCAATACAAACATAGATCCCAGTGTCCTGGTCTTGAGCAAATCGGATCTCCAGTGTGCCATCTCCCAGCACAGTGGCTCTTCCATTTGACTTGGTTGTGATCAGCCTCCGACGTGGGGTAACCCAGGATATGGTGGGCTGCGGATCCCCGTCAGCATTGCACATCAGCTGCACTGTCTGCCCTTCCTCCACGACCAGGTATTGCAGCTTCTTGTCTTGTATCCTGGGCTTCTTGCAGGTGAAGTAAAAGGAGAGGGCTGTGCTGTGAAAATCTTTGAATGACCTCTCCTTGACACTGTCTGGGCCAGCACACATTGGTGACTGGCCTCCAAACTGCAAAGTGGGCTGCCTCTGTAAAATCCAAAGGAGACGGCAGTCACAGGCCAGAGGATTGTTGTTAATGCAAAGGACCTCAAGGGCTTTGGGGGAATGAAATACATTCTCTTCTAGGGTTTCTAGGAGGTTTTGGGATACATTAAGCACACGTAGGAATCGGAGCCCTTGGAAAGCATGTGGTTCGATGGTACGTAACTGGGCCCCCACCATGTGGAGTTCCTGCAGGCGTACCAAATCAGAAAGCATTCCTGCCTCAATGGTGCTGATGGGGTTGTAGGACAAGTTTAGATGTGTCAGGTAAACCAGATGTTTAAAAGCAGTGTAAGGTACTGCGGACAGGTTGGTGTTGGTGATGGAAAGAGAAGTCAGGTTGAGACCGTACAGGCTGTTGGCAGGCAGCATGTCCAGGAGTGGCCAGGAGTCTATCTCCAGGCCTTTTAGGCGAAACAATCTTTTAAAGGCATACGCAGGCAAAGCGTTGATGTTAAGCTGTTTCAAATGAAGACTGATGAGGTTGTGGAGGTGGGAAAGAGCTTCTGTGGGTACAGCCGTGAGATTGCATCTCTCCAGGGTGAGCTGCTCCAGGCTAAGCAGTCCGCTAAAGGCCCTGTGTGATATATAAACCAAATCATTGTCCCCAACCTCCAGGGATTTTAGGTTATGCAAATCTTGGAACATGTAGTCCAGCAAAATGACAATCTTGTTTTCACTTATATCAAGCTTTGTTAAGTTTGACAACCCAGTGAACACCCCGAGGGGGACCAGCTTCAGACGGTTTCCTTTCAGCCTCAGGGAGCGCAAGTTAAAGAGATTGTTAAAGGCTCCAGGCTCCACATTGGCGATTATATTGTCACTGAGGTCAATCTCCTCCAGCAAGGGGTATGACATGAATTCCTCGGGGTTGACGCTCTTCAGTCTGTTCTTGCTGAGGTCCAAGATTTTGGTTTCAATGGGAATGCCCTCTGGGATGGACAGCAGGCGCCTCCGGTGGCAGCTGACGGACTTGTTCTGTGCTGAGCATTCACAGCGGGCTGGGCAGCCAAAGGTGGAGCCCATGAAGACTAGCAGCACAGCCAAACCTAGGAATGGCTGCCAGCAAGATACAGCTGTGTGAAGCATGACTCCACTGGTCCGGTCTAAACCTCCGTCACGGGCCTGTAGGGATGAGGTTGAGAAAGGAGACAAGTTAAGTCTGCAACAAAAGGAGACGTCTATTTTAAGTGCTATTTCAAAGCAGGCATGTGTGTTTTCATTTGAAACAAAACAACTGTGGACAGAAACAGCAACAAAAAAGTAGATTTTCCTTCACTAGCATTGGGCTTGTCACAGGATCTCTTTATCCAGTGTTTCCCCTCCAGACGTCAGAGGAAACAAAACAGCTTTTCTTACTGAAAATAGTAAAATTCATTACTTTTTTTTCTTTCTAACTCTCAATGGGCTTCCACAAGACTGCTATAACTAATGCAGCGACAAACATCAAACACTCTGCAAATAAATCTAATCATATTTGCGAGGTGTTTACAACATTGGGCCACGATGATATAAATCTAGGCTTTCTTGTTCTAGTCATTTTTTAAAGGCAAACCTTAACGATGTATTTATTATCTTCAAGAAAGAGTTTCTTGACAATAAAAAGATTCCTTTTAACATTTATCACATGAACTGCAGTTATAAGTAGATGGAGCTTGTTCACACATACACATACACAATGGCTCAGATAAGAAAAAGAATTGTTGCATCTCTGATTAGAATTTGTATTAAGAAAAAAAATGATTCTTTGCTTTTACTGCACAGAGTTTTTATATGATTTTGAGTACCAAAGATCTGAGATGGTTTTATAGGATACATCCTTATATTTCCAAGGCAAGGTAAATTAGCTTTGGAGAGAGAAGCAAGGTAAGATGAGCTGGTTCTGCTTAAGCAGCACACTGTCCAAAGAAACATAGCAGTTGGTTAGGAAGTCACACTGAGCAAGAAATGTATTTAATTCCTGCCCTTGGGCTAAAACTGAGGGTAGTAGGAGACAAGACAGACCCTATTATATTAACTATCCTTCATGAAATGAAACACAGGTTTAGTCACCAAAGTTGAGAGACTTTTTTAAGGTTAGCTACTAAACAAAGACACTCAATAGCCTGTTTCAAAACAAGAGAATAAAACAATACAGGTACTCATCTGAAGGCATATATCATACGCAGAATAAGGTGCTTGCAAGAAAATACCTCAGTCTTGAGGCCCAGCCCATTTGATGAAGCCAAGTGGAATGCTGAAATTTGGGCTTCATAATATCAAATGACTTTGCAGAGTACCCTGGGCCTTGTGAAGCCTTTACTGGATTAATTTGAGCTTGATTTCAGTTGTATCTATAAAATCGTTCACATCACTTCTGCTTGTATTTTCCCCTCAGTCTGGTCAGATGATTAGTGCTTAGTTTGTCTTATGCATAATGATAAAATTACCCAAATTACCGCCTGACCTGCAGCTTTGAGCTCTGACAACCAGCACTTTCAGTGCTGGTTTCAGTGCTTAAGTTTTCAACTTAAATTTCAGTCAAGTTTTGCTCATCTGTGTGCAACTGTGCAGATTAGATCCTAAAAAGAAATCTTCCCATGTACGGTACGGGATATTCACAGACTTATGCAAAAATGGCATAACTAAATGCATGATCCAACCTAACTATTTTAGCAAACATGGTGTTTGAAACCCCAGGCAGAAGAAGAATCTGCCACCAGTAACTGCTGCAACCATACCATGCTCCCCTGGCAAACACCTTGGGTGTGACAACTCATCACATCATCCCTGTCTGACAGAGGAGGACTGCCCCTCTCAGATTGTGGGCAATCAGAAGGGTGGGGATTTAACATGCAAAGAGTGGATATTTGGATCTAATTGTCTTTTCTGTCCTTAACAGTCCTCAACAGAAATTGCATTGTAAGCATTATAGCATTAGCATTTTTGTAAATGAGTAATGAACAGCTGTTGTGCTTTGAGTGTTAAAAGCTTAATTGGGTGAACAATAAATGTCCTCATAGTTGCATGTAAGTTATGTTCTACAAACAATAATTAAATGGTTCACAGAACACTTTTCGTAACTCTGTGGAAGAATCTCGCTCTTGACTGACGTAGCTTCTTCCTTCTACCCTGACACTTCAATGCAGAGATATGAGGCAAAATGCATGCTGTGCTTGTGGTGTAGTCTGGGGTCCTGGATAAAGACTATTCTTTATTATACTACTTATGAAAGCACATTTCAGCTTTGTCCTGGAAAGACAAACTGCTGAGATTCATTTAGTTTCCCCCTTACGCTGTAGTCTTGCAAGTAAGTATTTCTAGTTATGTCCAGCTGTGATAAAGCTTTTCAGAGATAAACTTCACTTCATTAGGCACAAAGTTAAAACTGGAAATCTATAGGGGTCTGTGAGTTAGGTGTTTGCAGTGAATTCAGATCAAAGAGGCTTTTGGGTGCTCTGATCAGTACTTTCAGGGCTCAGTCTGTGAGCTTTACACTTTCGTTATGATACTTCTGCATGCCAGGAATTCATTTCCCATCTTATTCACCTAATGCATGAAGAGAAAAGTAAACAGGTTCAGAGTAAGACAAGCACCCCTGGAGTGTTCATTCTGGATGGCAAAAATATGAAATGCTTTTTGCAGCTATCCAAACCACCTGGTAAGTAAAACTTCGGGGGAGTGTGAAGTAGGAGGTGGACAGTATGAAAGGTGATAAAAGCATTTTTTGACGGTGGCTGAAATAAAGGAAGATAGTGTTAATGTTGCATTTTGAACATTAACAGTTACCTTCTGCAAGAACATGTGCACTAAGATGTGCACTAAGATGTGCACATGTGTTTATCTATAAAGGCATGCACGTGTGTGTGTGTATGTGCATGCATTTGCAGGCAAGTCAGATTCAGAGCTGAATTTTAATCTGGAGTAAACTACACATCTGTATGGAGCTGCAAGTTGGAAAAACAAAGATTAAATGCATCAACAAGTACAGGTTGAAAGAAAGCATAAGTTTAATGAATTATTTCAACTCTGACACAGATACTCATACATCCTGCTACTCTCACCTGTGGCTACATCCTTAAATTTGAACTTTGTGCAGAAATGACTTCATTATAGGAAAAAAATGTTACACTACCTCAGATCCTGATGCACATAACAGGAAAGGTAAAGAGGTCCAGCAAAGGTGAATGCTGGGAGAATTTACCAGTGATTGTGCATCATCCAATCTGGATTTAATGAACGTAAAGCAGCATTTTCAGGACAAGTCTTCTAATATCACTAACAGAGCCTCCCCTGCTCCTTCACTGTGAGATCATTTTGAGGGTGTGCATCTTTGTCCCCAGTGTACGTGTTGTCTCAGTGTGATTACCATTGATGATTATTATACATTCATTAAATAACAATGCTGCAGTGTCCAAACACTTTATGGAATGAGACATTCATGTGATATTTTTTACTGCAAGATAATTTTTTTTGCACCTCACAATGCTTTTAATGGTGATCCACATTTCTTTAGACTCATGGGATATTAATTAATTGGCAATTTCAATGACAATGTGCTGAATTATTGGTGTCATTGATAAACATGTCATGTTCCATTTCTGCATACTTTGCCAGTGTAGGTATTTGCTCTAAAGACCAGCAGCATTACTTTTTCATCATTTCTCTGCATCCTTCAGTAAAATTTTTCTTCACTGTAATACATATAAGAAAATACAAACATACAAATATGCATACATACATACATGTAATCTGAAGCTGTTGTATTTTTGTTCTAAAATTCCATTGTGCCTTGCACTATGGAGTGCTTCTCTAAGATTATAGCCTTTTGGTATAAACATAATAGTAAATTAATAAGTAATTATGACCCAGTAGTTTCTATATAGAATCACAAAAGCCTTAGAGTTGGAAGGGACCTTTAAAGGTCATCTTGCCCAAATTGATATGTCCAGTCCTGTTGATGTTTAGTCCAACTCCAACTCATATGCTTACATGATCCAAGTTATATGAACTTATTTGAACAAATGGGAATGTGCAAAATTGCTTTCTCCATCTTTCTGGAGGTATTTAGCACACTTCAATACATTTTGGGAAAGGAAATATAAAATGAAATTATTTATTAAAAATAAAAATCAATGCCCTCATTTTTTGCCTTTCACTGGTTCTGTTTCTTAAGTCCCGTGTCAAGAGTCAAGTTACTGATGGCTGGGCTCTTTTTCAACACAGGACCTCAATCAAAGTTCAGCCATGCAATTAAGAAAGCTTATAAAAGCTATTAACTAATAGCTCTGTATGAACTCACCCAAACAGTCATTCCTACTGCTTTGAAATGCAAATAATTTTGAACAAAATTCTGCAGCTTTGAATCCATAAATACTTTACAAAGATTTGTCTGTATCCGTACTCCATAGCTTTTGAACTGAAGAATTGTGACAAATAAGAAAAAGCAAACTGATTCTCCACCAGAACACTGCAATTCTGATGCGTTAGCCATGCAAATGTGCTATATTTGTACTATGTCTCCCCTTTCCTCCATCTCATTTTGAAGCCCTTATAGATAAAAGGTAGAGCGTACCTGACCAGCTTTAGCCAGAATGAGAGCCAGACCTGTTTTTATGTCATTAGCCATTCTCCCCACCTTCCCCTCCCTGCCTTTCAGGCAGTTAAAACACCCAGGGTATCATATCGGAGATGACACCTCTGCCTGATGTTAATGTTACTTAATACTTTACCTTCTAAGATTCTCTTTTCAAAAAAAGTAACTGCATTAAATAAGCCTTCTAGGGTGAAGTTTTGCATTGTAGATGTCTGACTCATTCTACTAAAATCTACCAGCTGATCCTCAGAAACAGTCCTACTTTGAAGGGATTTTAGATCAAATCCTGCCCATTGCTCAAATAGTAACGCATCCAGATCAATTCTTACGAGACCCTGCTCAGAGACAGTAAATTTTTCTTCCTGTATGAGATTGTTTCTTCCTGCCTCAGTTGCTGAGTTTTAACATTTCTGTACTTTTGAGCACAGAACACATAGTGGGGAGAATGAAGGGTCCTGTCTTTGCATCATGTCATCATCTTCAGTAAGCAATGTGTCAACAACACCTGTGCTCAAATCTTTGCCACACAACTTTACTCATGTTTGTTCAGTAGTTC